GAAAAAACTACTTTTCTATTCCAGTGTGGATAATGAATAATTATGATATCCATAATTTATTTTCTTTTAGAAATATATTTAATAGATAACTTACACTATTTTGTCTTTATTGTCTGCCTATTCCCCGAGTTAGACAAAAAAAAAAAATGATAAGTATAAAAATGGGCAAACCACAGCTCAGAGAAGTAAACAAAACTTCTCCAAGAAAATCAATAGCAAAAATAGGAATAGAACTTAAATATCATATCTCACCTTTAAGTGAAAATTATATAAAAATGTCATCTCCTCCTTCAGAACAAAAACAAACTGATAAACTGCAAATAGACAGTAATATATCTAACCATTATTGACTGACTTGTATCTGCCTGGTTCTGTGGTATACAAGCTCACTTAATTTTCACAAGACACTTATAATGTTCACATTTTATTCTCTCTGTGCTGAAGAGGAAATGAAATTCATAGCAGCTTAGACACCTGTCAAAATTCACACAGCTACTACCTGGCAAGGTGGGATTTAATCTCAGGTCCCTCTAACACCAAGTCCAACCTGTAGGCCTCCACACCATACAGCATCATATTACCCCATCTTGAGGTGCTGTGTAAGAATCTCAACGAGATAGATTGGTGTGATAGTTCAGGGACATTGCTGCTCAGTGACTTCTGCATAGAGACTAATTGTCCTCCATGTAAGCTCTAGGTAAGTGACCCCACCAGTCCTCCAATTGCCCCCAAACAGTAAAGGATTTCAAACTTGACTCCTCCCTCTTCATCAGCCTTCATTCTCTACATGCAATCAATTATGAATTCTATCAATTTGAATTCTTTAGAATTTTCCATATCTTCACATGTCTCCTTTGCTGCCATCCTAGCTCAGGCCACTGTTTCTTCCCTCCTGTTCTGCGGCAAAAGTCTCCTAATTTCTCTTGGGATAATTCATTTCACTGCTTCCCAACATTCTCCACAAGCAGCCAGAATGATTGATATTTCTAAAATACATGTATATATTTTTTTACTTTGAAACATGTTTGTCTATGGTATATATCACCTATATTTTACATGATCTCAAAGTCCTTGAGATCTACTCCCTATATTCTCTTAACTACATTGGAAACTCTAATCATGCTGAAATATATACAAAGCCACAAAAATAAACAGTGCTCTCATACCTGAATGAGAGCCCATACAATTTCCTGTGCTTGGGACACTTGACTTCTCCACTCACCTATCCTTCAAATCCTTAGTTCAGATATTTCTTCCAGGTAGACTTCATCGGTTATCCATTGAGTGAGCTAGGCACTCAGGAGTTATTTGCAAGATTATACTGTTAACTATCAATTCACCGTCTTCCACAATATGCTGGGAGCAATTTAAGGAACATCCAGGCCTTATTTTCTGTCATAATCTTGTACCCACAGTACCAGGTAGACAATAGGTGTCAAAGAAAATTGTGAAATGCAGGAAGATAGAAACAAATGGAAAGAGTAAGGGATAAATAAAGCAATGAAGGAGAAAGGGGGAGAAAAAGAGAGAAAAAAGAGAGGAAGAACATACATAAGGGACTTTAAGAAAAGGAGGAAAATGGGGGGTAAGATAGAGGGAAGAAAAAGAAAAAGAGGGAAGGAAGAAGTAAGAAAGAAAACATGAAAGGAGGAAGAGTGGGTAGGAAAAAGAAAAGAAGAGCGTATGAAGTTACAGAAAAATGGAGAATAGTCACTCTAAACTACTAGTGGAAATTTCTAAGGAGGCTCTAAATGCCATCAGACATTGGGTGACTGGCCATCTCTCTGGGATTGCAGACATGGTCACAGCCAAGGAGTCCTGATGTTAAAGGAAATGAAGACTGAAAAGGCCCTTAAAATGACTGAGTTCTAATTCATTTTATGATTGAGCCAAAGAAAGGAGCTATGCCTTGCTCAATCAGTAGAAGACAAATAAGATACAAGCACAGGCTGGAATAATTTCAAAATCCAAGTTCTCTTCACCACAACTATCTTCCCAGAAACAAATGAGTCAATAAAAATAGGAGCAGTATGGTAGCTTAGGGTGGTTGGTACTCCATTTGAGGCCATTCTTCTGTGTGCTATTTCTTTTCCCTGATGCAAAGAACTTCACTCTTCAAGGCAGGTAGAAGTAAGGCGAAATGACTCTGTTTGATATTATGAGGTTCTTTCTGCTTGTGCTCCCTGTTACTACTAACCTTGATCCTCTAACGAGCCCTTAGTTTCTGCTCATGCTTCATTTGTCATGTGTCTTCTTGTCTGTTCACCTTTTGAAATCCTATGTAACTTTTTGAAGCTTTGTGCAGATGCTTTTCCTCCATAAGGCCTGCACCAGTGACAGGAAATAATCACTCCATCTTCTCTGCTCCATTGGTATTTTGTTCATTTCTTTTTTCAATATGAATTAGCCTATGCTTTTCAGTATAGATTAATGTGCATATTTTTTTTCCTCACTAAATGTATACTCCTGTCATGCTGACTCATTCTTGCTTTATCCTTATCTCTCCTACTAGACATTAGCATAGTATCTTTTATATGGAATACATATCATGGTTTTTAATATTGAATTGAGCTATGAAACCCATTTTTCAACAATGAAGCCTGTATCATCCTAAAAGATTAACAAAGCTAGAAATTCATAACACTTCTTTAAAAAAAAATTTCCATGAGTATGCTTTTTTTTTTTTTAAAGCACTTTTGTGGTGCCAACCTTTGTTCAACAGTTGTTTAAAGTGAGTTTTTAATACGGACTAATAATAATACATATATATGAAGAAGGAAGGATAATTGAGTCAAGCAGCATAATTGAGTCAGTATCACAACCTTCAAATTTATGGATAATAATATGATTTCATATGTTGGCCTATTGAAGGAGCAATTATTAAGAGAGATTCATATTCCTTTAAAATACTGGCAAATAGATTGTTGGAAGAGAAGGAACCTCATCTGTTATAGATTCTTTCTTTAAATGCGGAGGCTTTGGGGGGAATATTTATAGCAATATATTTCAAGTATTGGAAAGGAGAGAGAAGCAAAGAAATACTCACTAGAGCTTGCCAAAGGTTAGCAAGGATTTACTTGAGGTGAATAACCTAGACTGCTCATTCCATTCATTTTAGCTAGAAGTGTTCTTGCCCAGAGCAGATGGCAAATTGGTTGGATGTAGTGAAATAAAAGCAAGAAGGCACTTTAAGTGCCAGGACTCCCAATCTCTCCCAGCAAAGCTTGACCCTTTTGAAACTCCCATTTCTTATCAAGTGAAGTTAGCAGTCCCATTAGCTGAAGCAGACGGATTTTCAAATTGTTTTAAAAAATATATTTTAACAATAACTTTAAATGAAATGTTGTCTATATTTAAAAACATAACTTTAAGTCTGTCCAAATCCAATACATTTCTCTGTTATTCACATACTACTGACAGTCCAGATTCAGGTAAGCTAATGGCCGTAGATGTTTTTATCTACATTTTCCCTCAGCATTGTTCAAAGGGCATTGTCTTCATTCACTGATTATATGCATGACCAGATAAAATGTACCACATATAGTGGACATCATTTACAGTAGTTTCTATTAAATTTTTCAAAACTATAACTGTTAGCACTAAAGAAGTTTTTATAACTCCTTTTTCTAAAATGCCATGTAGAAGTCCAAGAAAAATTAAAAGCAAGAAAATAAATAAATAAATGGCAGAAATAATACACAGAAAAATATATTACCTTTTATGTCTGCCACATGAAAGTTGAATAAATAAAATTAGGGGAAAAAGATACTTTTGCTCTCAGGTATCTTTCCTAAATTTCATAGAGGTGACATTATAGCATTTGTTAAATTGTTCCCTTCAGATGTACATACAAGAACATATTGGACTGCTATATAGTCTTTACTGGAGATCCTGATTTATTGTTTCTTTTTCTTACCTATACTTTTTGAAAACTTACTAATGAATAGTAGCTGATTTTGATATTTAATCAGTTCTGTTTCTCTCACATTCCAATAGCCATAGGAAATACTTTTAAACTTCAAAATTACTTCTTTCTGAGCTTCTCCAGTGAGAAAAATAAAATCTTCAAATGTCAACTACTCACTCATTCTTGCATAATATTGATCCCAGAGAGAAACTCATTTTTAAGAGAGGGTTTCTTAAATATATATCTATTCCCTGTACCTTGGGACACAGTGGAAGATGTGCTTTTCCTAAGAATGTTTTCTCCTACATGGAAACTCCTTAAAATAACATTTTTCTATAGCATACTGACTGAATAGATTTTTATATGTCTTGAGTTTTATTACTCAATTTCTTAGCCTACCATTATTTAGGAAAGTCTATTGTGCTACTCTTAATGCTGTCATCAAGATGAACAAATTTATGTTTAAGAAACTGTTGGGGGATAGATGAGGTGGAGGGATTGAGAAAAGACAAGGAAAATTCATGGACACGGACATCAGTGTGGGGATTGCCAAGGAGACGAGGGTGGAGGGAGCTAAAGAAGGGTATACAGGGATAAAAGGTAGAGGGAGAATACTTGACTGGGGGAGGTGAACATGCAATACAATATACAGATGATGTATTACAGAATTGTACACCTGAAACCTGTATAATTTTGTTAACCAGTGTCACCCTAATAAATTCAATAAAAAGAAGAAAAAGAAAGATGTTACTAGAATGTTATTTAAATTGGTATATGCAGCAATAGAAGAGGTGAATTCCTGGAGGGATGAGTGACAGAGATTATATTATAAATTTATAAATTTATCCTTATTAAAAAAGATAAATTATCCAGTTATTTCATCTGCAAAATCGAATATGAACAATACTTACATCATAGATTAGCTGTGAGGATTCATTGAGTGAAAAATGTGAAGACTCAGTAAGTAGTAAATAAAGAGTTGATCAGTCCATGTTGGCAATTATCATTAATACCAGTGAACACAGAGAAGCAGTGAGACTTGGAGCAAATGTGGAAGGGCTCGGGTGAGAAAAAGAAGTTGCTGACTTCTTACCTCCAGGGAATCATCGGCATTCACCATCCAACAGTCTGTCCAGGTGGCTACAACTAAGAACCCAGTAGAGAACAGGGCAAAGAAGCAAGCCACGTACTGAAGAAGACTCCTCATCTTAACCAGTAGCCGGACTGGAAGGGATGCATGGGGAGCTGCCAGGCCTTGACCACTCAGGTAGCTGGAATGCTGTCAATTTCCGTGCTCCCGGTACCTGGGGATGTAAAAACACTGGTCTTTTCCTCTTTCTCACACCCCACTGCAGGCGTCTTGAGTTGCAGTAAGAGTTATGCAAACAGGCTGTAACCCACAGAGGGGTCCTGGAGGTCATGATCCAAAACAACCAGCCTCCAATCAGAAGCCAGTTCAGTGAAAGGGCTGGATATGTTTTGTGTGCAGGAGAAAAGAGGCCCTGGTTATGTTTTCCGCCCAGACCATGAGATGAGGGTTACCAAGATATTTTCAGCACCAAGATGGAGAGAAGGAAGAAGGGTCATACCCCATGCTGACGCCTGTAAACTGATCTTTCTCAGGCCCTCCAGGGAAAGTGAGCTATTCTCCTCCCCCTCCCTAAGGAGGCTACACGGTTGACTGAGTGCTATTTTATTATAGGACTATTTTAATATTCGCCGACTACTTTAGACAGACAGGCCGCGGGTGAAACCATGCCAAACAAGTGCTTGCTCAAGGGAGTTTGCATTCCAAAGGATTAGACAGAACAGCCCCATGAAGGGTTTTCAGCATCTGGGCCCTAGGTAGAGCCACTGCTCCTAACCTTTCGCATCATAGAGTGGGGAAGGGAGTGCATTTTTATCCAGGCAGCTCTGGGTAGAAAGCCTTGCTCTGAACCTTATAGGGTGAGGGCACTTAGATTGCATTTTCTATAAAATGGGAGTGTTAATACTTTTCGAAAGATGTTTGTGAAAATTAAATGACATTGTGACTCTAAATCATTTAGAATAGTATCTGACAAAATAGCTGAATAATAAATATTAATATGACCAAGAATTCTCTATATGATTAGTTTTCTTCCAACCACACACCTGTTTGTGTTAGGAAATTACATATATATCAAAGTGGATTATATATATATATAGCAATGACAACTGTAGTTTTATCTACAGCTGAATGGGTGGGTAGCCTTCTTGGTATAAATAGTCCATAACTAGTAGTCTTTTAGAAATTTTAAAAATAATTAAAAGAGTATATGAACCATTGTTTTGTCATCATCAGATAGACTTCTCTATAGTAAAATACAAATTTTAGTGATAATAGGAAAAACATTTTACATGGCTCTTAATGCAAAATAGAATGCGAAAAGTGGGAGAGAGCTTGAGAAAGAAAGAGAAACAGGAATAAGAAATAGAAATCAGTCATTACTCTGAAAAGAATTAGCCACTCAGTTATTTTAGTACCAGTGAATAAAGAAATCTATTTAATAAAGATTGGTCATAGTGTAGGGTAAAAGGCTAAATTCCTGTGTATTATAATATACAAAAGGTAAATATAAATATAAAACTAATATAAAAGCTGGATTTAAAACCATATTTGGAATATTAACCCAATTATTGCCATAAATAAGGTTATACATGTTAAGAGTCGATATCATTATTAGTTTACAAAGCACATTACAGGTGCTTTTAATTTTGCTTATTTTATTTTATCTATTTTACTTAACAATTGGGAAAAATACTTATTTTTAAAAGTGCTCATTCAAATAATGTAAGTCAGCTACAATGCACACATACTGTTTTGGTGACTCACAAGTGAATCTTTTCCTGTGCCCTGAAATCTAAAATGCTCATGCTCTATTGATCTGGGAGAGGAAATTCATTCCAAAAGCACATGCCCATTACAGGAAAAATCCTGGACTTAGATGCTAGCTTTCCACCCAGGGACCTTTCACAATGTACTTTTCCTGCTAACAGTGCGCCCCAGGGCAATGGATCTTAAACTTGAGTGCACACTGGAATCTCCAAAGCCATTTGTACCTAGGAGCTCAACCCGCGGAGATTGGGACTTAGGAAATTGGGAGTGGAGGCCAGGAATTCACATTCATAGATGTCTTGTATAAAAATCTAGCTCTGAAACAGGTAACCATGCTTTGAGAAACTAAGAAGAAAAGAAAAATTCCCATTAAAACCAGCATATTACTTTTCAAAGTTATATACACAAACAAAGCTGTGTAAAGGGGGATATCAGAATTACATCTTTGACAATAAATAAATAAATAAATAAATAGTCTTCCCTATATAGTATCAAAAGCACATCATAGTCCCAGCCAGTTTGGCTCAGTAGATAGAGTGTCAGCCCCAGACTGAAGGGTCCTGGGTTTGATTCTGATCAAGGGCACATACATTCATCCCTGGGACCCTGGTTAGCACAAGTGCAGGAGGCAACCAATCAATGTGTCTTTCTCACATCAATCAGAAAGATCTCTCCATTTTTCCCCTCCCTTTCACTCTCTCTGAAAATCAATAGAAAAATATCCTGTGATGAGGATTAACAAGAAAATAGATAAAAATATTCAAAGCACATCCCAAATCCAAATATCAAAACTGGACAGGATTAAGGAAAGGAAAAGACATTGGGCATACACATGCATTATGCATGCAAACATACACATGTACATACTGACCATTGAAAAATCAGAGATTTGTCACAAAAAAATATAGACTGCAACTGATTTATGCCATTTCTAACTATGTACTGGACATTGTATGTGGTTGAAGTTGGTGGGGGTGGGTACTATATGGGACTCTAGAACTGTTTCTGAGTCTATAAGTTTACCAATTTTTTAGAGAATAGCATAAAACAATCATGTTTAAATGTTAATTTCTGTGACTGAGGCCATACTATGAAATGAGATCCAAGACAGGAGAGCCATGCAGACTAACCGAGCAGGAAGGACTTTCTGGATGGAATGGGAGGATACTTATAAGAAGAGATAAATGTGCAGGGAGCTGTGAGAACGGAGGGGACGAATGCATAATAAATCACTGGCAAGTCCATACAAATAAATCTCTCTCACTGTTCTGCACATTCTCTAGCTTCCACTCTTTAGCTTTATCAAGGGAATTCTAGTTTTGTTTCATTCCATTCAGAGCATATGCTGACCTAGCACCATACTAGGTTCTGGGGCCGAACAGGGAATAGAATGTGGAGACTTGGTCCCTGTCCTTGAGAAGCTGCAGTGAGGGGACTAAGTGAAGAGCACCATTCAGGAAACTCTGATTCCAGCCTCAAGTTACAGTAGCAGTCTCTATAAGAGTACCCAGATATTAGATAGAAATAGGCAGGATTTCCCAATGCAGATTAAACACAAAGTACAGAGACCACCATGCCTATGACTCAATCGTGTTTACAAAATATGGTCAAGTGTATTATCTCATGTAAGCTCCATAAAGACAGATAGCTTTGTTTTTTCACCAATGCACCTCAAGTGCTTAAAATTCTGTCAGGCATATAGGAGGCTCTCAACAAATATAGGTTGAATTTAATTTAGTCCTCACAGCTCCACATTTTACAGAAGAAGGAGGAATGTTGAACTTACTCTTTTTGAACCACCTAGGGTCCCCAGGATAAATATGAGGTTGGCAAAAGTGGTTCAATCATCTCTGCAGTGTCAAAGCTCTTTGTTCTGCACAATGCTTACGATATATTGGTCGGTTCATAGGAACTGCTTTCCTATTCACCCAGAATCTGCACTATTCCTGGTTGGAACTTTAGAGCCACCTGGTGATGAGGTGAGTGATGTCCTCAACCTGGCACCCTGGATGTTGGTCTATACAAGAAAGGAAGTTAATTATACAACTAGAAACACTGCAATTGTCCCTTTGTCCTGCAGATGGAAGCAACTCTGCATTTTTAATGGTGGAAAATAGCAAATTGCTTTGTAGTAACTATTCTTTCTGCTAGCATCTCAAACTGTTCCTTCTCTATTCATTATAATAATGAGTCTTTAAAAGAAATATCCTGATTTATACCACATCTTGTAGCAATCTTCCCACTCCTTTTTAATTGCCCAGTGCCTGTTTGAAAAACCCAAGCAATATAATTAGTTGCTGTTGTCAAAGGCCATGCTGACTGTGACTAATAGCAAATAAATCAAGTGCTTAAAGCTTAGATCTCGGAGTCGGGCAGGCACAAGTTCAGCTAAGATATTAGTATATGTGAGCTCTTGGCATGCTACTCGTCTTGTTCAATTAAATGCGAATTACAGATTCTGTGTAAGATGGCTGTGAAAAATAACATCTATAAAGGTCTTAATACATTGCCTGGAAAATAATAAACAATCAATAAATTATAGTGATTATCTTTTTTATGTTACAACCTTGCTCTTCTACAAATGCACCATATATAAACATATATATGTATATATGTATATATTCATATGTATGTATATAGTATATGTATGTATAAGTGTATTTGTATGCATAAATATTCATACACATGGACATGTTTGTGTGTGTACATAAACACACTTATATATGTATGTGTATATGATATATATTATATGTGCGATATATGGTATATATGGTGTATGTGATGTATATGATGTATATGTATTTATTATACATATTGCATGTTATATATCTGTGTATATATTACATATATACAAATATGTGTGTATGATACATATTAAAACAGAAAAAGTGTAATTCTGAAGCAATTTTTTAAATTTCTTTATATTTGTCCTCATCCCCCCATTCCCATCCCAAACCTCTCCCCGCTCATGCCCCCACCCCTCTATTGTCCTTGATCACTGGTTAGGCTCATATGCATGCACACAAGTCCTCTTTGGTTGATCTCTCCCCCTTATCCTCACCCTCCCCTATCTTCCCTCTGAGGTCCAACAGTCTGATCTATGCTTCCTAAAACTCCCTATCTGTTCTTATTCATCAGTCTATGTTGTTCATCATTTCCCCTAGATGAGTGAGGTCATGCGCTACTAGAAATACACTTATAAGAACCAAAAATGAGACAAGCAATAATGGTTATGTTGAGAGGCAAATGAATCAATTTGTAGTGAGTTTCTTTCTGGGCCAACAGCTCTTTTGAGACCCAATTTAAATGTCAAACAGTTCCTTATGTATACATGTCAGCCATGATATTTT